CTTGTTCGTCGTCCCCCAGAAAAGGTGGCGCCGGGGGGGGGGGGGGGGGGGGGGCGGGGTTTGAATGCCATTCCCCAGAGGTCTCATTCTGAAGATTTTGCAGTTTAGCGATGAGATTTCCAAGGAAGGCCCTGGCGCTGTAGCCTTCCCAGGATGCATCTGTCCGGCCAGGGCTACATCGCCAGTGTCTCATTCAACCAGGATGTGGAAAAACCTTAATTGTGAATAAAATAAGATTTCATATCAGCGTGCACAGCTGCTTACTGATGTGATTGATTTCTAGTGAAAGGGGGTAAAGGTCGGCTTTAAATCCCAACTCCAGAGACAATCGTTTTTTTTTTCCCTTGCAGTGTGGCGCTCCCCCCTGCACAGCAAAGGTAAAACTGCTCATTTATGCTTAGGGGCAGGAAAAAGCCGTTTTACTCATCTCATATCCTCCTGCCGGTACCCTCAGGTCTGCTACACCGATCCCCACATGCCTTTCTTCCTAAGGACTGCTGACATCATTAAAAGAGAACTATGGGGTTAGGGCTTTTCCCCATAGTTCTCAGGGTAACGGGAGGTCACAAACCCAGCGTCCTCCCGTCGCCCTAGGCTCAGTATACCGTGAGCTGTAGCTCGCGGTATACTGAGACGCCGCTCGCGGTATACTGAGACGCTGAAGCGGATCCCGACAACCTCTGCCTATCTAGAGGCAGAGCCAGCTGTACCCGCCCCCGTCCGCTCCGCCTGTCAGCGCTGGCGGAGAGGGGGGAATCCAGCCCCTCCCCTGTCACGGCAGAGAGCCGTGACCGGATCGAGAGGTGAGCGAATGCTGGTATGTGTTCGCTCACCTCCCGATGTACTGAGCCGACCTGTGACAGTCTCATTGTCGCAGGCCGGCTAGAACTATGAGGTGAGTGAAAAGCACTCAACTCATAGTTCTCCAAGTACAATGCAGGTTCCATAGCTCTGGATTGTAAAAGAGAATGTCATGGGGCAGCCCACATATAGAGCGGAGGAGTGTACCAACTTCCAGGAGAGTGGGGATCAGGTAAGTAAAACAGCTTTTTCCTGTCCCTAGTCCTAAACCGCAATTTAACCCTTGCAGTGTGGGGGAAGCCCCAATGCAAAGGAAAGCATTTCATTTCCCTGGCGTTGGGCTTAAAGAAGAACCTTTTCATTCTTTACCTGGACTGATTGTTCTAAACCATGACCGGAGCTCCTTTTTACTAATCGGCTTCTTTCTTACCAGATGTCTTTCGGCGAAGAGACAGCATGCATCAGGGAGTGGTCAACTTCATGTATGATGATGTAAGTATCTTCAATGAGAGATTGCAAGCTTTCATGTTTAGAATTGTGTATTTAATATCTGGGGTTTGCTTTCACCGAACATCATCCACTGATTAGCAAAGATGTGTTTGTTTTATATGCATAACAATATACTCAATGAATGGATCAGTATGTAGATAGCCTGCATAAGTACTACAACCCAATAATGTTCTAGGTAGAGTGATGCAATCTAGCAAACATTGTTTTTTCTGAACTATTTTTGCCCCTTCTGACCAATTTCATGTCATAATATTTGAAGGCGAGAACAGTCAGAGTTGCAAACTGACAGCATACAGGATAAAAGGTCAGAGGAGATTTTTAAATGACCAGAATCTAATCATGAATTTGGAAAGTGTAGGGGAGGCCATTATGGATAGCAGAGATACAGGGACACCATGAAATGTTTGTTTCACAGAATGTTTTCTTTTTTCTTGTTAGCATGTTAGCAGAGATTATCTTTAGGCGTGAAGGAGAAACACCTCCAAGCTGAGGTAGGAGCAACAAAATTGAGGACAAAAAGTCACAGGAGAGACCCGACGAGTGTAGCATTTTCTAGTGCAAAGCTATAGATGGGTTTTCAATAATTGTAGAAGACAGGGTAAGATACTTGCATAGGTTGTGAGAAATCCCCTTGGGGATATCTGACAACCTCGGGTGCAAAAAGGTATGCAGGGAATATTCTGTCGCTGCGCAGGATGGTCATTACGGATACTAGTTTGGGGTGGAGTTCAGGTGATCCAAAGCTCGTCAGCAAGAGGAACCCGATGTGTACTGGAGAAATTGGACAAAAAGGCCCCAAAAAGCATAGGTGCGAGGTGGCAGAGGCGCCCAGGTGGAAGAAGTGAAATGATCGTGTTTTCTTCTTCAATTCAGACTTTTATTCCATGATACACACACATCAGTCTCAACGTGTTTTGTGGCTCTGAGATGGCCAATTCAGGAGGGTGTAATGAGACGCTGTACTCAAATACAGTATACAGATAATATGGGGGATATAAAGAAAATAGTATGTAGTAGAACATTGGAGAGAGAGAGCATGTCATCATACAATTGCAAGGATTTATCACATTTCTCTATATAATTATTTTTTTTTTAAATGTGGTGAATCCTTGCACTGATATGATTCCAAGCTCTCCATCCATTGTTTTACTATATACAGTGGTACCTCGATTCACAAACTTGATTCGTTCCACGATCCTGGTCGCGAACCGAATAAAACTGCGATCAGACCGCGATCTCAACTAGAGGAAACCACGACCACGTGTCCGAGCAGGGAAGGTGGCTGCGGTTGTGTTTGTCACCCGGTGCGGAGTTTGCGAACGGAAGCAAAATTTTGTTGAACTTCTGTTCGCTAATGGGAGCGTTCGTGAACCGTGGTACCACTGTACTATTTTCTTTGTATTCCCCATATTATTTGTGTTCTTTGTGTAAAGTGTCTCATTACACCCTGAAGAAGTGGCCATCTTAGAGCCACAAAACACATTGAGACTGTGATAGTTGTGTGTGTTTTGTGGTATAAAAGTCTAAATTGAAGAAACACTCATTTAATTTCCTCCACCTGGGCGCCGCGCCTCTGCTGTCTCGCAGCTATGTTTTTGGGACATTCTGGTCTCCTCTCTCCAGAGATTACCTTTTTTAGTTTATATTCCTATGCCATCTCTACACACAACGATTGGGAAATGAGTTATTGTAATAGAGGATTTCTTGTACTCGGGGACATAAAAGGAAGTTCTATTTGTGCCTTACACCCTCCCCTTCCTGACATTGCAGCCTGCAATAGGAGGGTTTTGGGAGCAAGGGCAGTTCTGACCATCCAGAAAGCACTGTATTGGCTAGGTCTTGCTAGCTGCTGATTGGTGAGCTACAGGCTTGTATATCGGTAAAGGGTGAGCCTATTCGTATTGTCAGTGCAGCTGGCACAACATACATGAGGGTGACAATGCTGCTCTGAATTCAGTAGCCATGAAACGGTATTGTCCCCCATATCGGGAAGCGTCACTTTATTGGCAGGATCAGAGGTGTTTGTGAGATTGTGCATGGGCCTAAGGGAAAACGAATTGCTGCGCTTTTGTCATGCTTAGATGCAGCTTGATAACAAACTTCTTTTCCTGGCCCAGTTTTTGCAGAGTACCATGGCCATATAAGAAACCAGAACACAGTCCTGTTATGAAGAATCTGGCATTATAACCCATCCTGTGAACTGTTTTGAAGAAGGAACCAGGTGTGACCACACTGTGAATCTACCTTATTGTACAACCTAATATTTCAATTTTAAGTCAGTTCTTATACGCAGTACACTGACTCAACACATTGTTAGTTAATTTGTATTATAGGACACAGAGATTGCTGTAAAATATATGTTCAAGCTTTCTTTTTTCGTATAAAAATATATCTATTAAAAGCCACCTTTTGTCCCAGTTTCTTGCTTGTGTTTTTTTTAATTTTTTGTATTTTAGTGTAGATTTCAGTTCAGCTGTCTCTTGAAACAGGTGTGTATTACATTGAATGTCAGCTGATTCTACCTCTCTCCTACTTGCTTTGTGATTGGCTGGCTGTTTTCAGTTAATACACCAGTAAGCCTAACTAAAAGCTACAGAGGCTGCCAATCAGAAAACAGAGGAGGAAAGCTCTGTCAGTCACTATGAACACTCCTTTTCAAGAAGCAGCTTGTACCTGTTTTGACATCTGTAGGATGGGTAAGGCTAAACCCCGTGCAGACCCTGTTTTGTTCACCTGCATAATTGCATGCCATGTTTAAACTGTAATGTTTTCTCATTAAAAACCTACAACTTTACTTGCTTCCCTTGCATATTTCAATCTTTGAATGTTGTATGAAGTCTGGAAAAGCAACTCCTGAGTATATTTCCTATTGCAGCTCTTAGAAGTGCCTTTTTATATTTGGGGAAAGGGTTGGTGATGAGCCTCGTGTAAAAGCTTGGTAGGGTTGACTTCTAAAGGTTTGTCAAACCAGTAAGACGTGAGGATCAAATCTGCTGACTGCAAGTCACACGTGTGTGTGTGTGTTTTTTTTTTTTTCTCTACAGACCGAACCAATTTTATGTCCCTATATAATAAATAGATTTCTCTTATTCATTAATCTCCTCCGTTTTCAAATTGATGCTCATCACTAATTTGTACTGGTGAGGATATAAACACCATAATTTTGGGTTCTGATGGATTTCCAAGCACATAAACACCAAATCCAGTATGTATGCACTATAAATATATATTAGGGATGCACATATACTGGTTTTTCATATAGAGTACCAGTAGTTTTTTGTTTTTTTTGGTACTCGTCGATAACTGTGCCGTGTGCCCAAATATCAGGGAGCTGGATGGCTGATTATGACCCGCCACCCAGCTCCCTGATTGCCTGGGAGGCCGGTGTTCTATCAAACTCTGGTCACGAAGCCAGGCAGCCTTGGGACGGGAAGCTGTGCAGCAGGTCATGAGGTGTCACCCGGCTTTCTGATGGCAAGCCAGGCGGCAGGTCATGATCTGCCACCTTGCTTCCTGATTGGCTAGGAAGCTGACCTCACTCCTGACCAATCAGGGAGCCAGGTCATGATGTGCCCCTGGCTACCTGATTAAGCAGCCAGGCTGCCTAGCAACAAGTGAACCCGGCTTCCTAGCTAATTGGGAAGGTGGGTTATAACTCGCCGCCCAGCTTCCTGATTGGAAAGGAAGATGACTCCATACTTCCTTGGTGCTGCTGGTCAGAAGAAGTCCCATCCAGAGTTGCATTAATTTTTCACCAAGATCTTGTAGTGATGATGGGAGAGTTGGACCACAGCGTAAAGTCTTCTCCAGCTCATCCCAAAGATTCTCAATGGGGTTAATGGTATGGACTCTGTGCCTGCCAATCCATGTGTGAAAATGTCTCATGCTCCCTGAACCACTCTTTCACCATTTGAGCCTGATTTAATCCAAGCATTGTCATCTTGGAATATGCCCAATGTGCCATCAGGGAGAAAAAAATACATTGATGGAAAAAACCTGGTTATTCAGGTGGGCAGCTGCTTTCAATTTTTGGGGACATAACATTGCTGGACCTAGACCTGACCAACGGAAGCAACCCCACTTCACAACACTGCCTCCACAGGCTGATGTTATAGGCATGATGGATCCACCACTCTTCTTACCTTGATGCGCCCATCACGCTGGAACAGGGTACACCTGGACTCATCAGACCACAACCTTTTTCCATTGCTCCACAGTCCAATCTCATGAACGCACATCAATACATGCATTTGTTTTGACATGAATGTACGAAATGCTCAGGTTTGAATGGCCAGCAAGTAAATTTGATGCAGCAGTTCCAAGTGTCAAAGTTGTCGCTTGCAAGACTGGTTCCACGTCTTTCCTGAGGCATCCGTGCAACAACAAAAAAGTCCTATAAGTGATGAGTGGAGAAGGCAATGTGCGGCATAGCACCCTATTGCATGTTTTATAGCATGAGTAACACATGCAAAAAAAAAAAAGTATCACCATGTCTGAAATGGTGATAATTCTAGGGGGCTTTATTAAACAGGTACATAGTACATACCTATTATGTTCTCTACTTATTACCAATAATTAATGGTGAAGAGAAGGAATGAGACCTTCCCTGGTGTTTTTTTCTCTCATCTGTAAAAAAAAAAATAAGTCAAGGCAACTGGACTTGCTGTATTTTTCTCGAAGACGTTTCACTGGACATCCGACCAGCTTTCTCAATTCTGAATGACTTGTACAAAAATTATCTGGGAATAAATATGGTGAACGTTGCTCCAATCCACATCATCTGTTAGTCACAACCAGGTGTTGATAGCGTTTGCATAATTGGAGTCTAGGAGGTATTAAAACAGCATTTATATGTGGCAGAAAATAGATGTCTCACCCCCCCCACACCTCTATTCAAGCATATGTTTTTACATATATGGCCTCTTTCACACCTTTTTTTAAATCAGTCCTCCCTGTCTAGGATGCGTACCTGACTCTTCAAAGGAGTGACCTTTTTCCTTAAGATACTATACTGCTGAATCCTGACCAGAGTGTTTGGCTCTTCTATGCTGTGCCATACGCTGGTGTAGCAGCTGTTTTTTGTTTCACCAACATACAATTCTGAGTACTCCTCACTGCACTGGACTGCATACACAATGTTGTTCATCTTGTGTTTTGGCGTTGGGTCTTTTGGGTGAACCAGTTGTTGCCTCAGTGTATTGTTGGGTTTAAAGCAGACGGGGATGTGATGTTTTTTTAAAAAACCCTTCCGAGTTTCTCAAGACACCCCAGCTACACATGGGATGACCACATTCTTCTATTTGTCATGATTTTCACCCTCACTGCTACTCTTGGCATTCGCTCCTTCTTAAACTCCTCTGAGGGTTTATCACTGTTCTAAGCAGTGAAAAGACTTCTCACCATTTATTAAAAGTTCCTTCCCCTTCACTTATTCTAGTTGTGTTTGTACAACTTTCATTCATTATTGTTAAGTCAGTGACTGTAGCGCAGACATTGTATAGGCATGACAACAAAAAATAGCACTTTATGAGGCATTAGTGGCACGTTCTGGTTCCATTTACCAAACATTCGATGATGCCACACAAATGAATTTTTAGAAACTACTCTTTTTTTTTTATTATCAGAACAATGCATATAATGTTTTCTAAATACTAAATCATTTGCAGATATTTTACAGTGAAGTATACATGTCCATATTTACATATCTGTAAAATGCTTCAAAATTTATACCACAAGCAATGTAGAAATCCTAGCATTTTTGGGGATATTATTTATAGTGTATACATTCACTAAAATTTGCTACTTACAATATGTACATACAGTAATATACTTGTAAAATCAAGTGCATGCTATCCGTACCCAAGACAGGGTCTAGCCCAGTGGTTGGGTATGTAACATTAGAAAATATAAATACATTAAATTCCTTATACCGTAGTTTCTATTGAATCATGCGTACATTGCAAAAGTGATTATGTTCTTGCAAATCGTGTATCTCTAGTTTAAGGAGAAAAAAAAAAGAAATGGCTGTTTTCATAGCTTCTTTTTTTTTTGCTACTAAAAATGACAATTATTCTTGCAAAACTGTTGACAATGCATTTGAATCTTTCGGTTGGAAAGCATAAGAAAACATGTACAGTACAGAAAACCTTTAAATGAAATACAAGGCAGAAATTGTGTCAGGCACCATGAAATTAAAACTGTAGTCAAACAAGTACTGATTTTTAAAATGCCAATATCTACAGATGGGTTACACAGAGCTTCAGGACCAATTAAACTTTCAGGTTAAATCAGCCAGAAACATTCCAGGTACAGCAAAAGAAAAATGTGTTCAAAGACTAACAGGGTTATTCATTAAAGGGTGAAGAGTTTGGAGAAGGCAGGAGAAGTGAACTATCTAGGACAACATAGCTAAACTGGAAAATGTTTCTAAATCGGCTATTTTGGCCTAGATTGTTCTCTTCTCCGGCCTTCTCAACTCTTCACCCTTTTGTGAATACGCCCTGTTAGTTTCTTTAGAAAGCAGCCACAGCCTGAGTAGAAAAGTCTGTCCCCTGCCAACATGCTGCAGAGAAGGAACCTGCTCTCTGTGAAAACAGTGGCCTCTCTGCTGAAGTCCAAAACAACCCCCAGCTGAGTCAGACCTATAGCATTCTGTTGATGGGACAGCTCTAGCTCTGACTCCACAGGAGGTGTGTCAGACCTCTGCAGAGGTCACTGCTCCCACACAGAGAGCAAGTGTCCATCTCTGCAGCATGATGGCAGGGGAAAGGCTTTCCTACTCAGGATGTGGCTACTTTTTAAAGAGAACGAACTATAAGACTTTGTGCAATTTTTGTTTTGGTGCACCATCAATGTTTTTTTTTTTTTAATTTAAACTGGAAGTCCAGCTGGGCTACCAAGCAATACATAATTGGTAAACTGACCACATACTGTCAGAGCAACAAATGTATCGACATATAGGAAGTGTTAGGGCCAACCTGGTCTATTTGAATGTGATCCTGCTAAGTAGGTTCTTACAGTTTTGTACTGACAAATCAGAATCTGCCTGCATACCACCAGCTCTAAAGCATTATCTCTGCCTTCCTGACCAATCTGGTGCTGTACGTCTGGGCACTGGCACAGTAAACTCTGTTATCATTGCCCAGCTCTGTTATGGTTGTATAAGCACAGTAAATATGCAATGAGATTTGGAGCAGTCTTCTAATCTATACAGTATCCATGCTTACACAACATTTGTTGTACCTAATATACACCATAATATTTTGAGGGGGGGAGATTATTAGGACTGTGTGAATGGGCAAAAGTAGAAGGTGAATATTACAGGCACCTACTGTAGATATAATGGGAGTGAATTTTATCTCAGACTTTTTTTTTTGCTTTTTTTAAAAACATATTAAGTTGTCTGTAATATTTTCTCTCTCCCTCTCCTGCTT